TTCTCCATTTAGAATGATGTTGGCCTGGGGCTTAGCATAGAAAGCCTTTACAATGTTGAGATTAGTACCTGTTATCCCTAGTTTTTCTGGTGTTTTAAACATGAAGGGGTGCTATATTTGTCGAATGCTTTTTCTGTGTTATTGAGATAATCATATGATTCTTGTCTTTACATCTATTGATGTGATGAATGACTTATTGATTTCTGTATGTTTAACCAACCTTGCATCCCTGGGATGAACCCCACTTGATCATGGTGCACTACCTTTTTGATGTGCTTTTGTATTTGAATTATCAGAATTTTATTGAGAATTTTTGCATCTATATTCATTAGAAATATTGGTCTGAAGATTTCTTTCCTTGATGTGTCTTTGCCTGGTTTGGGAATCAGGGTGATACTGGCCTCATAGAATAAGTTTGGAAATGCTCCCTCTTTTTCTATTTCACAAAATAATTTGTAGAGTATAGGTATTAGTTCTTCTTTATAGGTCTAATAGAACTCAGCTGTGTATCCATATGGTCCTGGGCTTTTCTTGGTTGGTTGGCTTCTGATGGTGTCTTCTATATCTTTACTTGAAATTGATCTGTTTAAATTGTGTAAATCATCCTGATTCAACTTGGGCAACTCATATGACTCTAGAAATTTTTCGATGCCTTCAATAATCTCTATTTTATTAGAGTACAAGTTTTCAGAATAATTTCTAATTATCTTCTGTATTTCTGTAGTGTCTGTTATGATATTTCCTTTTTAATCATGTATGTTATGATTTGAGTTTTCTCTCTCCTTCTATTTCTTAGCATGGCTAAGAGTTTGTCAATTTTATTTATTTTTTCAAAGAACCAACTTTTTGTCAATTTTTTCAGTTGTTTCTTTTGTTTCAATATCATTGATTTTAGCTCTGATTTTAATTATTTCCTGTCTTCTACTGCTTTGGTGTTGATTTGTTTTTCTTTTTATAGGGCTTTGAGATGTAGTATTAGGTCATTTATTTGTTGACTTTTTCTTATTTTATGGAATGAACTCCATGCAATGTACTGCCTTCATAGTATTCCAGAGATTTTGAAATGTTGTATCAGTGTTCTCATTAACCTTGAAGAATTTTTAAATTTCCTCCTTGATGTATTTTGCAACCCATTGTTCATTGGGTAGCATATTATTTAGTCTCTGGGTGTTGGAGTAGTTTTTATTTTTTATTTTATCATTGATTTCTAATCTCATTCCATTATGATGAGACCTCAGTAATATGCTGACTCTTTAACCTTGAAGAATTCAGGAAATTAAAACCAGTCACTATTTGGATGATGTGTACATAAATTCCAAATGGTTAAAATAATGAAAATCTATTTAAAAATTTTAATGAGTTTAGAACAAATAAAAAGAAGTACATCTTTATGAACCAGATGATTTTCTAAAGAAATATCTACAAAAAATCCCCAAATTATTTCTGTATATTTATAAAGTCCTAGTCCATGAATGTTAGAAGAGCTGAGATATGCCCCACCATTCTAACCATGTCATGAAGGACAGTCTTGTTTTCTTCATGAGCCTGGGCAGCCTCCTGTTAATGACAGCTACACTGGTCTGAACAGACATTGGTCTCTAAAAATGAATGACAAGTCTCATCCTAAAAATATATAAAAATGTTACTCGAAGCAACATTTAGTTGTTACATTTTATCTGCTATTCTGTCTGTGTTGAGAATTGAATCCCCATTAAAACCTGATTTGAATATCAACTAGCATTACTGGAGAGTCAACAATAGAAAACAAAATACAAAATCTGATCTAAGTTGAGGGTACTATGTTTTCACTCTCTCTTCTTCTGTTAGGTTGTAATTATGGAAGTCTCTCCAAAGTGCCTTGAATGCCTTTTTGTTGAGGCCCCATATGTTAGAAATGCCTCAAAGACTCCATAGGCATTATTATGTTTGAATATATCAGCAAACTTGTCATCAGCTAATTAGACTCCTCGTCTAACTGAAACTTGATCATATATTTTCTAAATGTAAATCAAACTGTGTCTCTCACTTAAAATGTTTTCCCTTACATATAGTGATTTAATTCTCCATTAGCCTTTTCAGACTTCAATTTCTGTTGGAGTGCCTATATCTTTAAAGTGGGCATCTGAAACCCACATTTTTAGAAATATTAGATATTTTATGAAGGCAACCCAAAATACTGTGTTTGCATTTCTTTGCCAGGTAAACATAGAAATGGTGTCCTTATGCAGGGTCTTCCTAGGGCCGGAGACAAGAAAACAGCTCATGTGCCACATGTTTACACAGCAACCACGAGATGTCCTCTTAGCAACTGTGTGTTTTGTGCTCTGTGCTGTCATTACTGAGAAACCTCTCAAAACAAAACTGTGTTTTTGGTACTTTCAGACCACAGGTAGGGCAATTTCAATATAAATTTGGCTATTTTTCACAGTACACTTTCATTTTAAAATCATCCTGTTTTCTGAAACTTCACTTGTTTCTTTAAATGAGCATCAAAATAGCTATGATTTTTTCTAAATATTTCAAAAACTCAGAATTTTCAAAGATGTATTCAACTTCAGAATCAGCAGATTTTCTTTATATTATAAAGAAATATATACATTATGAAGAAATAAGTATAATCAGTCATTTAATGATTTGTATCTTGATAGTTCCTCATTAAAACCTGTGCTAAGAGAGTCTTAAAATTGTTTCTTCCTGTTTTTTTCTTCCAAGAGGTGTTATAACACTATATTTTGAACTGTTATAGATCTTTCAATGAAAGTTAATGAATTTAAAATCTATTATTTCAAAGATATACATTAAGTTCTCTAGCAGGGAACAAAATTGGATTTTAGATTCCATATTAAATTTTAACATTACAGTGAAGCATTTGAATCCAATATCGTGCTCAGAGAGAATGTCAGGAAACCAGAGCATGTACCCTCTTTTTGCTATTGAAATGACAAGCTCTTTCCAGATTTTGGTGCATGTTTACATGGTATTTCCTATATGTAGGAGCTTTTACTAAAAGAGACACTGTTAACTCAGTAACACATGGCAATACAGAGTAAGTTCTTCCTTGGTTCATATAGGCCAGAGCATTGATGGAGATAAAGTTCCTATTAAATTAGTATAAATTTTATTGTGTCAGGATGATGGATTCAGGACTAAGCAGAGTTTAGTATTCTATTCTTCAGCAAATATTTATTCAAAAATCAGCTTTGAGATGTATTTTATGTCAAGTTGAAAAATTATTCCCCCACCAGAGGGGGACAGCAGTTTCCATTTGCTTTCAAGGGCAAATAATCTTTCGATGAAAATAGCAGGATGACTACCTACTCTAAACTGTTGCTTCAATTAATCAGTGCCACACTGTCTAATGCTTTAAAGAAAAGTGTCTTTATTTTTCTCTTTCTAGGGGAATCTTTTGTGACCATATAAGAACAAACCAACTTATTCTAGAGACTTATATTTAAAGCATTCCCTGTAATTTGAAAAGGTTCAAAGATGTGAGTTAGGTATTCTCTTATAGGATGAAGTTTCTTTTGGGGGGTGAGGGAGGTATTTTCAGTTCTTCCTTTGACCATATAGTCATGCTTTGATCTTAAATAAGAAAAAAAATTATCTTTCAATCACAAGATGCTTTTCCTTTTAATAAATAAGTTTATTACTATAATTAACTGGCTAGTCAAAAGGAAAACTTATTGGTATGAAGGAAACACCTTGAAAAGATTTTCACTATCCTAGTTGAGCTAGGTGAAAACAATAAAATGTTAGCAGTTACTTTAATAAGAAACACTCAAAATCTGTAGGAGAAATGATAAAATCTTCAGATAAATAAGTAACTCGGTTTCTGCCTAAGTAATTTATAATTTACTGTCATTCTTATCAAGGTCCCAGTGTTACAATTTTTTTTTTAATTGGCACTTGTCAAAGTTACTTCAAAGATCTCTATAGACCAGGCATGGTGACTGGCATATATCTAATCCCAATGGCTAGGGAGGCTGAGGCAGGAGGATCACAAGTTCACAGTCCACCTCACTCACTAACTTACTGATGCCCTAAGAACTTAGGGAGACTCTGTCTCAAAATTTAAAAAATTAAAAGGGCTGGCGATGTGGCTTAGTGGTTAAGCACCCCTGGCTTCAATCCCTGATACAAAAGAAAAATAACAAAAACAACTCTATGGGAAAAAAATCTATAAAACCTTTTTTTTTAAAAAAAAAAAAGAAGAAGAAGAAGAATGGAAGCAGCCTTGCAATGAAGAATTTCAAAATATTTTAAGTCACATGATTATAACATTTTATCTTATGGATCCAAGTTTTAGTAGATGAAAAGAAAATCTAGTTCAGAACAAGCATTGATAGGTTTGTCTTTCTGGGAGATGAATTAATTTTATTTTCTATATAAGAAGTGAACAAACAACACTGTGATAAGGACTGTTGTTTCTCACCAAATCTCCATGTACTCCATTTCCCAACCTCCATAATTAAAGGCCATATAATTAGTTAAGGTCAAGTACAATCAGAATAATGTAAGTTGCTTCCAAACTTTCTTCTTTAAAACATTCTGTACAGTCTATCAGTTCTTTCCCCTTGCATTTTGTGAATGTGAAGCACACATGTTCCAAATGATGGCTGTCATCTGAAAGCAAGTTAGATCTCTGAGTTATTCCTTAAAAGACAGTAAATTGGACAAGCTGCCCGACCAACATCAGTCTTTGTAAAAAAAAAAAAAAAAAAAAAAATCTGTTGCATTCTTTAAAAATGGAGAAAGGCAGATAAAAATTATATCTTCCAGCTTTAGAATCAACTCTTACCTTTTCTAACTCTTTAAACATTAATTGAAAATTCAATTTAAAATGATCTCTTAAAAGAGGCTGCAATATCTTTTGAAGCAAAGAAAATAATTCATAGTTATCTAATCTTGCATTTGGGAAATACATTCAAGTAAATTAAAATTATTCTGTAGAAAAAGAAGACCAGATGATTGAAAATCATTTTTTTTTTCTTTTTTATTAGGTCTTCCAGGGCAATTTTGACAATGACACCCACAGAAAAAATGTCATCGACCCTCCCATCTATGCGCGACACATAAGAATCCTTCCTTGGTCTTGGTACGGAAGGATCACACTGCGGTCAGAGCTGCTGGGTTGCACAGAGGAGGAGTGAAGAGGCTGCACATCCCACAACACCCTTCTTTATTTCGCTGAAAGTATCTCCATGGAATAAACTGTGCTAAATCTGTAGGAAACTGAATGGGGTTTGTTTTCATGAAAAAGTGCTCAAATTATGGTAGGCCACTAACTGTCTTTTTAAGGAGGTCTAAGCCTGCCTTTTTGATTATTTGATTTTTTTTTTTTTTGTTCACCTCTCTTAAGTAACCATCACATTAACTGTAAATTACTTTTCTCATTGTTTTTCTGAATTAGTGCACTGGTTGAACTACATTAGGGAAAGAAAGTAGCCTTCTTTTTATAGCAAAAATTAAAAAAAAGAACCTCATAGTTATCTGGTAAAAGTTGATAGAGCTTTTAAAATCAATACTCAACTAATTCTTATAAAAGAAAAACTATGATGTTAGCAATAAGTTTTTTTTTCTGTAATGACTGCATCATCCTTTTTCCCTGTGCCTACCTAACACTATCAGTGTTTATAACAGAATTAGAAGAATCTGTAATATGCAGTACAAATTAATATTATGATTCTCATTTTACTTTCATTATTTCTAATTAGTGATTATGTAACTTTTTTCCTTTTTCTTTGCATGTGTATTCTTTACTTTTTATATTGCCTGGATAAATCAATCCTTTTTTCCTAACTGAATTTTTCTCCAATTATTTGCCTGAAGAATTTTCATATTTACTCATATATAAGGAACCTGATTAAAGAGCAGTAGATTGAACTATACTTAATATTGACAAATTGAATATGAAATTTTATTTTTGAGGGAAGGTATAACAAGGTAATTTCCAAATACTTCCTTTGTGTACCTTTAAATTTAAATCTTCATTTTGATGGTATTTATAGTCTCATCTTTGAATTTCAAGACTAGAAATACTAGTCTCTCTTTTTTTTTTTTTTTTTTTTTTTTTTGTCTATTTAAAACAATTAGCAAGCAGATATTAACAAAATGCTGCATAGCTTGGCCAAGCATACTCATAGTTTCTTTGTTCATCTCCGCAGTTCCTGTGAAACTAAAATTTTATTGATATTTGAAAATGATGGTGGTTTCCCAGGAAAGCACATTGTGTAGGTGTTTGTAAGGAGCAAAGTATTTACTAATGACAAAGTAGTAAACCACTTCCAAGATGAATTGATTTATTTTGCTTCAAAGGTCCTGAAAAAATAAGCAATTATCATAACAATTTGTTACTGATAATGGAGGTTTCCGTGACATGTCTGTAAAATTAAAGCTTACATTGCCTCCATAAAAGTCCTCAACATCTAATTTATAAGCTTCACAAGTATTTATTTTATAAGGCTTAGAAACAGAATTATTGGAATTTTAAATTAAGGGTCCTGGAAAAAGAAGGATGGTATGTGTACGAAATGTTAAGGTCCCACACAACACTGCTAAGTTTTATTTCCTTTAATCTTTGTGCTGCATAACAAAAGCCACTAGACTGTTACTGTCCTGTCTGTCCATGTGTTAACAGCATTTCTTACTGATGTATATATGGAGTGGTCTTCAATCATAGTGAAGAATTCAAAGAGAAAGTCAATCACATTGACATTTTTAGTAAAAGCAAGTTAATTGGTCCAAGGGGACTGGCTGGCCACATATTGGTTCTATGCCCCATGCTTTCTACTTTAGGGCTTTATTGTGAAATTATTGATTTTAAGCCTCAGAAATGGTAATTAGTTTTCAACATCTTTCAAAAACAAAATTATTCTATTATTGATATTCTCTTTTATAGATAATTTTAAATGAAAAAATATTTAAGTGGCTAAATTTTAAAGTCATGTTATAAATAATTACTTAAGATTTAAAAATATACATACACTTATTTATCTAGCCGATGGCCCTTAATTCTTTTGGATTTCCTGGCCTACTGAATTTCTGGATGTTTTCCTTTACAGATTATGCATGATTCTTCATTCTTAGGAGTATTTATTAAATATTAGGAGTAATTCTTTGTGATGATTTACTTCGCCAAAATTATTAATGGTCTCATGATATTTTGAATGTTTTTCTATTGACACCTGTTAAAAATATTTTTTCCAAGATAGTTGGTTAAAATTATATTAGTTACCTTTTGAAAGACACTAAAATGATTCCCCTACTTGGGCGTGTTCCCTCTGATTGATGTGCTTTTCACAACATAGCATGTCCAATGGGGATTCTATTTGTCCCTTGATGCCCAAAGCTGATGACAGTAAAGGGATTCTCACAAGTGAAAATGTTGATACTTATTCTGAAGTAGCCTTTGTGTCACTTGTATCAGTGTCATCAAAGTAAAGCAAATTTATTTTATTTTAATTCTAAAACAAGTAGAATCTCATAAGCAGAAAACAAAAGGAATCACCTACTCTTCACTATATTAAGTAACTGCAATATGCTACTTTTAAAATTTATAAAACTCATGACTTAAACATCCCCATTGAATCTACGTCTTATTTAAAGCATTTATTGTATTCACTAACTACAATTTTACGGTTGACTTTCTCTTTTGGAACATCTTCATAGTGGTTGGTGTGAATTTTGAAGATTTAGGGTACTAATGATTGTATCTTTGCTAGTTAACAAATTATGAAATATAATACTGAATGCTGGCTATGATGTGTCAGGAAGAACAAAAATAACCAAGACACAAGTAACCTTTACAAACTTTCAAGCTGTGTAATATTCCAATGTTGTTGTTTTTTTTCTTTGTATATATACTTAAATCACGTAGGATGTTGTAAAATCAGTATGACCTTGTCTAGTCTTCAAACTTAAAATAAACTTTTGAAAATCTGTGATACTTTCCAAGGAGTTATAATTAAACACATTTGTAAGAATATACAAATTGTCTATGAGTGCCCACTACTCTTGACCACATGCTTGGTTTCTTTTTTATCTGTACAGAACAATTAAACTGATACAGAAAAAAAAAAAAGAAATTATAAAACCCTTGCAGTATATATTGATATGAGCTAAATTGGTCTTTCAAAGATTGCTAAAATTTATGCATCCTCACATTCCTTTAATTTGTAGAAATGTTACTAAATATTAATAACCCCAAGTCAACTTTTTTCCTCATGTATATTTAAAATGTTGTGTTGCAAGAGTGATGTGCCTGTGGTTAATCAGATGTTACTATTGTTTCTATTATTCTTTCAGTTCATTATACTCAGGAATATAATGAGGTGAGCCAGTCAGTAGTAAGCAATCATATGACACTAATAATATATTTTCCATGTAACTTCAGCAATTGCTTAACTGAAGTCATAACATTTGGCTTCTTCATAAATCCTCCTTCTGACTCTCTGGAAGTCACTAGGGAAATATTAAGTAGATGCACTTCCCACTTTTTATATTTTCTTAGGACTGAAAAAAATTACGATAATTCTAAGATACTGAGTACTGACTATTTATTTGAACTTTAATGAGTCTTTGATAGCTCTCAGTATTCACTTATTATATATGTTTATTCATATATGTTCCTGTTTAATTGAATTTTAATGTAAAATGTTCAGTGGGGCTCCATTGTTTGACTAACACACATGCGCGCGTGCACACACACACACACACACACACAATTATACACAAATATTTTCAAGAAGGCCAAAATGAATTGTGACATCTGTATAGGACAAAAATTCATTTTGACAGCAGAATAATTATCCAACAAAATATTTCCAGCTATGAAGCTTTTTAAAGTTACTGGTTCAAGATGCAGAAATAATAGAAGTATTTAGAATTTCAAAGAGAAAAGCCTGGCCAAGTTAAAATTTGTTTTTAAAATGAATTAAGAATAACTTCATAAATAAGAATACATTTTCTCTATATAAACTAAAATGTGTACCACATCAACTTTGAATACAAATCCCTAAAATAAAAATTTTAGTAACAAAATATTAAATGTTTACTCTCAAAAAAGCAGTGGTTTCTATCTCTTTTTGAAAAGACTAGTTTTTTTTAATTAATAATCAATTAGTAGATTAATCATTTGTGAAAAACATTGCCTCTAGCATTTGAGATGAAAAAGGATCCTTTTATCTGAACAGGTAAAATGGAGGATTAAACCAGTTTACTAGTTGAAAAATGTCTCAACTACCCTGAAACAAAATACACTGTCATTTGCCTTTACAAAGAAAAAAATGCTTCATGTAAGTAGCAATTTTTCTATTGATTTTGAAGGGGGAAATAGGATTCCTTGATTCTATTGTAGTAAATGCCTATAATTCACATTGGATGTTTCAACTTCACTGCAAAATAAAGTGTTTTGCACAGTAGGCAAGTGGCACTTACTCAAAGAGCTATTTCTATTAGATGAATTTGGTGGCTGTAAGAAGAAAACATTTTTGGAAAAGACGTCTCATTTAGTTGTTTTTGCATAACTTGGCAGAAGTTGATTGAGTCATTTGAAAACACTAATGCTGTGGAAATATGGTGCAATAGCATCAGCAAATGGTCACCATATCTTATGATTAAGCATTGCATATGGTGATTGCCTCTGATTTAATTTTATTGTAATCAATTCAGATACACAAACCACGCTCTTCCATATTTATGTAAAAACCCCATGGTGCCCTTCATATGCCCACCCATAAATATGTTAGCACTGATGATAAATTGCAACGTTAGCTCGACCTGCTGCCACCTGTATAGGAAGTGGTGACAGTGAGACTGATGACGCATTCAGACAATACTTCCCCCATGGCCAGTATGGAAACAGCTTTGTAATGAAACAGCTTTGTGATAATTTATAGAAGCATCAGGCCAAAGCACTTTTGAGAATTAACAGGAAGTCAGTGGTGAATAGACTGTGTGCAAATGATAGAGAAGGAATGCTTTCAGTGATAAATAACTAAGTGACAAATTAAACATAAATATACACATATTTAATAATTCTTCCACTTTTAAATGATATTTCAGAGATTGAAATGAAACATTAAAAAAAAAAAAGACTTTGTCTTTCAGGAAGAGAGCTCCTCAGACCAGTGGCCCTGGCAGACAGAAGCATCGGGTGCTGTACAAAGCTAATGGTAGTTTTCTGCCTGGGCCCAGGGAGGGGAAATTGAACAAAGGGGTTAAAAGTGACATATAACACAGGAAGCACTAAATAATCAACCTTAGGCAGCTTTACTTCCTTGGTTCTCAAGTTTCTGAGATAATAATACGCTAAATAAATAAATACTGAAAACAGAAGTATCCCTAAAAAAATTTGTTTTCAGTGGCATAAATACCTTGATAAGATACTTGGGCTTTGAGGACAGAGACTCCAAGATCCGTATTTAAACAATAGTAAAATAACGCTTTTTAAACTGCCAACAATTGATAAATTGATGAGTCAAGACTTGTTTTATTCATTTTTTTCATTAAATAGACCAAGACACTAGAGAAGAGTGGAGTAGAGGGGAGAGAGAGGCAAGAAGAGAGAAATATGAATGCATCGTAAAAATTATTTTATATTTCATCACAATGATATTCCTGAGTGTGTATGTATTCTTAATCATAGTGTAAATAAGTTTTCGTTCTCTGAGACACAGTCATAAAAGTTAAAACCACTAGCAACATGTTCCCTGAGCTGCTTTCTTCATGGGTACTGTCTGCAGGCTGCTCAGTTTTGGTACACTAGGCAACGATTGTGAGTTTATAGGCAGAATTGGACAGATCCTGTCAATAGAGGTTGTGAAGAGGCTTGATAGGGAGACAGAAGATGTTTGGTGCCAGGAAGTGTGAAAAGGTTTTTAGGCAAAAAAAAAGTAGAAATACTAAACATAGAATTGTGTGAATTTTTTTTAATGTGATGAGCAAAGTCCTTTGCCATTCT